AAATTTATTTCATTGTTTGGCTCTTAAACTCTTGATTTTGGTCTTTCTTGACTTTTGACTTTAATGCTTGACTTCGATCTTGACCTTCTTCAGGAGCCCGATTTAATAGTCTTGATTTTGATCTTTTAAGCTCTCTTCTCGAATGATTTGATTTGAATGCTTAACTTTCACTTTGCTATTCATTTCTAGTCCGATTTATTATGTGTTGATTTTGGCAATAATTGATAGATTTTAACATTGAACAATCATCACTCACAATCAATTGTTAGAAATAATATTAATCTTATTTATTATAATCAAAACATTGAGAATTAAATCAACCATAGGTCAACAAAATGGACAAGTCTATATGACATGTCAATTATTTATTGAAGATGAATGGATCTTAGATTCAGCGTGTACTTTTCATATGACCCCATGTAAGAAGTACTTTACTGAATTCTTAGAGATCAATGGAGGACAAGTAATAATGGGAAATGATTTTTTTTGCAAAATTAAAGGAATTTGTAAGATTGTTTTGAAACTAAACAATGGGAATAAACTGGTTCTGAACAAGACCAGATACATTCCCAGCTTAAAGAGAAATTTAATCTCTTTAGGTACACTTGATGATGAAGTTTTTAACACAATAATTAATAAAAATACTTTGATACTCCAAAAGAATTTTTCAAAATTTCTTCAAGTTGAAAAATTAAATGGGATTTATATTTTGAAAGTTTTACATCAAAAGAATCAGTCCGTTGTTGCCACTGTCACATAGTCTGATAAATCTGAAATATGGCATAAAAGGCTAGGATACATCAGTGATAAGAATCTGCATATTCTTAAGAAACAATGACTTTTAGGAAATGAAAAGATTGAAAAAGTATCTTTTTGTGAACACTGCATATATGGAAAGCAAAAGAAATTGTCTTTTGCTATAGGTACACATAAATCAAAATCTATACTTGATTACCTGCATGCTGATCTGTGGGGACCAACTACTGTGAATACTTATTCTGGCTTTAAATATTATCTTCTGATTGTTGATAATTTGTCTAGAAAAAGTTGGGTCATACTTTTGAAAAATGAATATGATACCTTTCAAAATTTTGTTGCTTGGAAAACTCTTGTTGAACATCAAGTAAATAAGAAGGTTAAAGCTTTTAGAACTGACAATGGGCTTGAATTTTGCAATAAAGAGTTTGACAATTTTAGTAAAGACAATAGGATCCTTAGATATAGGACTGTCACCTGGGAACATAATGGTCAAGCTGAAAGGATGAACATGAGTCTTTTAGAAAGAGTTAGGTGCATGTTAATTAGCTCAGGCATTCCAAAATTATTATGGGGAGAAGCTGTCAAAACAGTATCATATCTTATAAATAAATGTCCTACAAAATCCCTGAATTATGACACTCCTGACCAGGTTTGGAATGGTTAGCCTGCTGGTTATTCCAAACTTAAATTTTTTGGTTGTGCCGCCTATGTACATCAAAATGAAGGAAAACTCGAGCTAAAGTCCATAAAAGGTGTTTTCTTAGGGTATGGTGAAGGAGTTAAAAGCTATACGATTTGGTTGAGGGATCATGGAGGTTATAAAGTCACTATAAGTAGAAATGTTGTCTTTAATGAGTTAGACATTCCTTGCATTAAAGAAAAAAAAGTTGTTCCAGCTGAAACTCATCAGAATAAAAACATTGTTAAAACAGAATTTCTTCCAGTTGATTTCAACATTGGAAATGAAGATCAGTTTGAGGTGGACCATGAATCTGAACAGGAGGCCACTGAACCTAATTTTGAAACTGAACCACCTGTAAGATACAATGAACCTTATTTTCTCACTACTCTTAACATTCAAAATTTTTTAGAAAGTGAGCATACCTCTTATGAAGAGGCTGTTGAAGGAAATAAATGCTAACATGTGGCTTGAAGCCATGAAAGATGAAATGCTGTCTTTGGAGAAAAATAAGACTTGGGTCTTAGTCAATAAACTAAAACGAGAAAAAGTTATTGGCTGTAAATGGATCTATAAGATTAAGGAAGGTGACCTTAAGGATGGAAATGTAAGGTTCAAAGCCAGGTTAGTAGCAAAGGGATTTAACCAAAGGGAGGGAATTGACTATAATAAAAAAATTTCTCCAGTAGTCAAGTATACTTTCATAAGAATTTTGTTATCTATTGTTTCTCAATTTGATTTTGAATTGAAATAATTAGATGTGAAAACTGCCTTTTTCCATGGAAATTTAGATGAAAAAATTTACCTGATCCAACCTAAAAGTTTTGAACAAAAAGGTAAAGAAAGCTGTGTGTGTTTTTTGAAAAAATCACTTTATGGTTTAAACAAGCACTTCGACAATTGTTGACTAGATTTTCTATGAATGAGGTTAAAGATGTAACATTAACTTTTGCAAGTCACTTTAAATTTTCTGTGGAACAATACTCCCAATCTGAAATTGAAATATGTAGAATGGATAAGGTCCTTTATGCAAATGCAATTAGTTCAATTTTGTATGTAATGGTTTGCAGTAGACATGATCTTGCTTTTCTCATAAGTACTTTAAGTAGATACATGAGAAATCCTAGTGAATGTCATTGGGAAGCATTAAAATGGTTGTTGAGATACTTACAAGGACCTTCACATATAGGATTGATGTTCTGTAATAGTAAAACTGGAATTCAACTTAAAGGTTTTGTTTATTTTGATTTTGCTAAAAATTGCGACAATAGAAAATCTACTTCTACATATGTTTTTACTTTAATAATACCTGTATAAGCTGGAAATCACAGCTGCAAAAAATAGTTGTTCTCTCTTCCATAGATGTTGAGTATATTGCAGCCACAGATGTTGTGAATGAAGGTATTTTGGTTGAAAAATTTATTAGATGAAATTGGTTTATCTGGTAATAATGCTATTGTATGTTCAGATAGCCAATCTGCTATACATCTTGGTAGAAATCCAGTTTTTCATGATAGGACAAAACATATAAATGTTAAATTTCATTTTATAAGAAATATCATAAAAAGGAAAATTATAAAAATTGAGAAGATTTAGTCAATCTGCAATACATCTTAGTAGAAATCCAGTTTTTCATGATAGGACTAAACATATTGATGTTAAATTTCATTTCATAAGAGATATTATTGAAAAGGAAATCATTAAAATTGAGAAGATTTCTACTAAGTGTAACCCAGTAGATATGAGAACTAAAATACTTCCTTTACATAAATTTAGGAATTGTTTAAATCTCCTAAATGTTATTTCTAACTAATATCTTGTAGGTACCCGAGCAAATGAAATCGAAGTGTTACCCTCTAATCCACATGAAACTCGATGATGTCAAGCAGTGGAGATTGTTAAAAATGAGCTTAACATCTTATGTGTTTAGCCCAATTATGTCAGCCCAATTGCCTTTGATGAATGTGACCCGGGTATCCCATTACTTGCCCGGATTAGAGCGTTATTCACTTAGGTGAATGCTCAACGGGTAAGTAGCCAAATACTTGGTGAACATCCGGGCCTACGGGCGAAAAATCCTTCGTGTTCATCTTGTTCTTGTTGTTTTGGTAATTTCTGGGACTGTTAAGTACCAACACTGTGCAATTACAACTACTAGCAATATGCTTGGCATCATAATTTCGATACCAATTACTGTCATGGAATTCTTTTTCAGATTTACAAGGTTGGAATTCAGCCAAATATTCACGTAAAACAACCTCAAATTCATTGGAACGTGGTTTAGTTTTGAATTTATACAAAGTTAACTAGACAAACATCCATAGTGAAATTGGTTAAATAAATCTTGAGATACAAATTAAGGAGCCCACAGTCAACCTCTAATGACTGAAGAACATCAAACTCGACAAATAATAAGATTAAGAATGTCGTCCAACAGCTTTGCCACAGAGTAAAGCATTAGGAGGTATATCATATTCATTTGCAAGACTAGGAATTGGATTAAACACTCTCAGATAGAATTGCTGTCCCAGGTATTGTCTCTCCCACATTGCAGACCTCATGTTCCACATACCTTGGTTATCCAAGGACACTAATATAGCAGTCCATGAATTAGGATAAACCTGCAAGAAGATCATTGCACATACATAAGGATGGGATGTCTGATAAATTTTTTCTCAAAGAAAATGTTCAACTTCATGGAGACTAATCATTTTGTATTATCCCCTTGGATCAACCGAGGCATACTATTTGTATTACGGGGGTATAATGGGCATTCATATAAGATCATGTTAACATTCCTACTATATAAAGCATTTACTAGATGGCTGTTGTAGTGTGCAAGAGAGGTGTGAGGGAATACTTGCAAGTATGCTTCTTTTTAATAGTGAAAACTTGCAACAGTGAGTGGAAATGTAGATCTCACATTGAAGGTGAACTACTATAAATATATATGTGCTTTGCTTGTTTTGTTAGTCTTTTCTATTATTATTGCTCCTGAAATTATAGGATTAGGGTTTAATCAATAACATGTAAGAGATTACAATTTAAGACAGTGAAGATAGGAACCTGTGTTGTGTGTCTGGTGAGAGCGTCGTGAAGATTGTATTTCCTTCTGCTGTCTTTAATCCACTGTCCCGACCCGAATCTGTAATTCATTATAAGCAGATGAAAGGATTAGAGAAACTTGTTAGCTAACTGCAACACTGAATAGCATATAATGATGTTATGACTTACCCTACAACCCAGAAATCATAGCCATCAAGATGCCATGACTGCATGGTGTTCTCATTATTCTGGAAAACGACTTCGATAAATTCGTGGAGAGAAGCTGGCATTACAGATGTAGCTAGGTATGGAGGACCATCAGAGGGGGAACTCTGGATGGAACTCAGGCTGAAAACACCAGGAATTTTGAAATAATCAGCAAGCTTCAGAGGCGTGTCAGCATTGATGTGAGAGACTCTGTTCACGGCATATCTCTGCTTGCCATTGATAATAGAAGCTGAATTAGTCAGAATAATAGTTCTTGATGGTGTTATTTTTCCGTAGTGGAAAGAACCTTGAGGGTTTGGTCTGGCTGCATTTGATGTCAAGTTCCATCTGTAACACAAACGTTTGGAGATTAGGCTATTCAAGAATTATGATCGTTGTGGTCAAATCCCTTTTTTGTGAAGATGGATTTTCAAAATCATGTGTATGAAACCGACCCAATCAAATGTTCATAGTATTGTGAATGTATGTACTCAACAGGACTAGACTGTACCAACTATGAAGGAATTAGATGCTACAATAAATAGGCATATGTACATGCCAATGCGTTTGAATAAGATTTTTCTTGGATATACCTGTAGGTTCTAGCTTGCCGCATAGACCAGTGCAATTGGTAAGTTGGACCAGAAGGCACTGGTCCAGAAACTGGACTGCGAGAGTTTGTATAGTGCAACACGGCTGTGACAGTAAGAACTTTCCTTGTGAACCTTGTCGATGCAACAATATAGTAGTCTTTCGGAGGCTGATCTAGGGTGACCAGGACAGCCACAGATTGACCAACATGAACATCAAGAGAATCGTAGATATTCTGCATGACATTAGATCCTTCCACTTCGACTAATTTCATTTGATGTCCTTGAATTCTGAAATTAAAGGAGGTTGACAAGCCCATGTTTGAAACCCTGAACATGTATGTTTTACCTACATATGGATCAAGATAAGAATATGTAGCTGTAAGGTTCATGTTCGGTAAGGTGGATTTGAATAGCACTGAATGGTAGCAAGAAAGAAAAATAAGCTAAAATCTCATCTATTCTACTGTTATGTTCTGACTAATACAAAGCGTCAAACATGACCTCTTAAGCCCAAATGCTAAGGTTCTGAAAATGACCTTGATCTCCGCTGAAGGAAAACTGAGTCTGACCATTTATGAGGATGCCATCAGGGAAAGGCAGGGGTTTCCCTGAATCAAGTGTTTGCTGCAAAGCCTACACCACATTGATATATTAATGAGTACATGTATAGTTAGCCCATAAAGTATTAGACTTGAGCAAAAGAATTTAAATATGAATTACTGTTTTTCCACTTCAATAAGAGGTTCACTGTTTCAAGAAGGCGATCACCTAGGAATACATTAGATTTTCACCATAAGAGTAGCAAGCTGAGCTTTGTTCTAATAAATTAGAGTCGACTATATAAATCATTTCCATCACTGTTTGGTTTACTGCTAGATCTACTTGAAGATGTCATGTAAATTGGGCTTTCACAGCTATAAATAAGATTCATATCTTTAAGTTCTAAAAATGTTTTGCGTTAATTGTCTACTTAATGCAGCCCTTCTCCCTTACTCGAGAATGAACCATGGAAAACATAGCATAGTTTGAAAAACATGAATTCAATCACTATTATTAGTCCAAACATATTCTATGGAACTCTACCTTCACTTCTGTATATAAAAATGAGTACATGACAATAAATGCATATAACACTCACCTTATGGTTAGGCTTGTACCAATCACCAATAAGCAAACTAAAATCTCCAGCAGGTTTGGCATATGGAACTGCAATGACTGATCTTTGGTAGACATTGAGTGCTCCATAACCTCCAGCAGCTCTGTGCATAAGAGTTGATGGGAAATATGTGTAGGTTCCAATTTGATCCTTTGTTTGAAATTTGTATGTGTAGTTTGAGTTTGGAGGAATCGGGCAATTTGTCCCATAAACCCCGTCTTGCCAAGAGTTCTTCCGCTGCTTGATTCCGTTCCTATTAGAGCAACATCAAACTTGTGTAAGGTTCAAATGATAAGTGATAAATGAATGAAACCAATTACTCGAATTCAGAAACAATGTTCATTGATCAACAATTTCTACAATGTAAAAGGAAAATTAGGAAAAATCACACATTGAAGAGAATGAAACTCAGTGTTCACCATGTCAAGAGGAAAGGCTGGTCCAACTTATTGATGAGATTGAGGATTATATTATCATTTGTCACAACATCAAGTCTAGGACCAGGAAATTGACCATTGATGAGAATGACCTTCAAATTCAAACATCAAACTCTCAGAAATCCATGAACGTTTGGCATGTTTGGTACAGAGACACGTTAGACAGCTCAATTTACAAGATTTTTTCTTCTTCTTCTTTGATGCTGTCCAATGCTATAGAATCTATGGAAAAACACACACAAACTCTGCAAGAATTGAAATGACTAAATTAACCTGTTGAGGAACACCAAGTGGAGAAGCTGTTCCATAAGTGACAGTCCATGTATAGAATCTGTAAGCATCCTCAGCCTTCACAGGAAAAACACCCCAAAATGCCAAAGTGACAGAGAGTGCCAAAAGGACAAAAAATGTCCTCCCCATTGTACTAGTTATACAGAATGAGCACCCCAAGACCTCAATATCTGCACAAACCCAGTTCATACATTAGACATTCTAAGCCAACAAGTGCAAAAACATTGACAGATCTAAAGAGCTGAGAATATACAAGCTACTGAACTAAAAACACGTAATAAACTTGGAAATGTACCAGGTTTGAGCCACTGCAGTACTAACAAATGAAAAGAATGAAAGAATTAAGGTGACAAATGACAATGAATCTTTCTGACTCCCTTTGTCTGTTCACCTTCTTGGTTTAGTCTTTGGATATATATAATATAGTGACAGTGAATCGTGTAAAAAGGAATCCTGGTTCCCTGGATATGGCCTATCTCTGGCCAACTTTATCATTCGGCGCATTTCACGCGGATCATGTAATCATAAATAGCTTCGTGAATCTTCACACTTTACATTTGACATTTCACTAGTTTAAGACTATCACAATATAATAATAATAATAATAATAATAATGATAATAATAATAATAAATGATAATTATATAGTAGAATACTATTTGGTTCCTGACGCAGGAAACTTGCTCTTGTTCTATTGATCATAGAAATTTCTAGGTGACAGTTAATTTGGTCGGTTGTTAAAGAGGTGGGAGGATCGATTCAACTCTATATCAATTTTTCTTAAGGAGAATTATCTTACAGGAATAGAGAGGGGTGTCCAACTTATTCTTCCCAATAGTTGGTCTAGTATAGGTCGATGGTTAAAAATAGTGTCATGCTCTATCTTTGATATTCACAAATGGATTGTACTCTAATGAGCTGACAACTTTTGACGTTATGCTTCTTTTTCTTGAATTTTGTTATAGCCGATTACAATAAGTTTCTATTCTATCCGTCCCATTTATAAAAGCCGACTTTCCTTATTTTCTTGTTCCAATTATATAGTAATATTTCTTTATTGAGAATGTTTTGTTTTGTTCGTTTACTAGTATACATTTATTTAATTTTCCAATTTTTCCTAGTTATAACAAATTCTTCCCAATTTACTACTAGTTGTTGATAATTAAATAAGGGTAAACTAGAAAGTTTTTGACAAAAATTATTTTTTCAATAATATTAAATAAGATTTCATCATTCGTGTGAAAAACAAAATCAGCCCATATAAATGGGACGAATGAAATATTAAATTTTATTGCTGCTTAATACCAATCATGTCATGTTATACACTAAAATTATAATACATTTCATGTACTAGATAATGTGTCAGTAATCTCATTGTCATGTAAATTAGTGCTAAGTACTAATAAAATTGAATAACATTATTTTTACTTTAAATCGGCAAATATTTCCAATCAACCAACCATAGGTACCAAGGATGGTCTTGACGAAGACTAATTTTATCACTTCTAATGATTAGATTCCTCTGGTCATGTCACCATATTCTTGGATAGGGGTGGAAAACGAATTGAACCACTTGCAAGCTCGACTCATTCCAACTCAATCCATGAATCATTCGTGAGCCTGGTTAGGCTCGGCTCATGTCAACACGAGGCAAACAGCTGAGGTTATCAATTAACTTGCCTTTTAAATATTTATTATAATGACAAACAAACAATCAATAATTACACACACAATGTGAATACGCGTTTCGTAAGTATCACTATAAACGCCATTATTAACAACATTATTTATGGGCGAAGTAAAAGGAAAAAGTAAGAAAATGATGGTGGTTGACAATTAAAACCCATAAATCTCGCCGTTGCATAGTGTGGTCATTGATTGAATTCAACTTTTTCTTTCCAACATGCCACCAGCTTTTGATTTTCCTTTTTTTTTTTTAGCTTATTGGAATTAATTTGGATATTAGATTTATTAGAATTGATGCAAGCATTGAATTGGTAGGGTGAGAGGGGGGTTGGTTGAGTAACATTGAATGATTTCAAGTGCCGAAGCATTTAAAATGACAGTTCACACTATATGGATAAAAATAATGTTATCTAGCACCAGTTTATTTGATATTATGTGATAAGTTCAATTAAGAGTGAAATTAGTACTTCATTTAATTGAATCTATCATTTAATACTACCAGTGCTTTCACCTAAATTAGCATTAAGCACCAGTGGTACTGAATGACATTACTCTAAAGATGAATAATAGTAATTGTACTTGAAGTAACATCAATAACGTACAATATATTAGCATCTCACATTGACTGGTGATATTTACACAATTCTCTTAATAAGGTGAGGGCAATCCTCCCTTAACAAGTTGATTTTGTTAGATTGAGTTATGCCCAATATCCTTTCTAATATGGTATCAGAGCAGACCCGATTTTACAATGTTGGGTGCATACATGTTCACAGTTGTCTCACATTGGTTGGTGATATTTACACGATCCACTTAATAAAGTGAGAACAATCATCCCCTAACAAGCCAATTTTGTTAAGTTAAGTTAGACCTAATATCATTTCTAATAGACCACTCACCGTCAAATGTTTAAGTGGCATTCATGGATTTCCTCATTGCCACAATGCTTTCAAGTTGGTGATGGACGAAATGAGGACCTATTTAGAATACCGAGCTTTGTAAGTTGCTCGAAGAGAACTTTTAAAAATAAAAATGGAGGACGTTCTACAAGATTATGGTCGAGATAGTAAATTAAGAATGTGAAATATAAAAATGCATGGAAATGATAGTCTTGACAAGTTGTCGTGTATATCGAACACGACTATTTAATTTCTCCTCTTGTTACAAAATTGTTTGAAGTCTCTGATTAATTATCAACCGTGTCCATTTTATAAATATATTAAAGCTTAACCCCACATTGAAAACAAGTAGATCCATAGTGCAATGGTAGCACGTATGACTCCAGATCAGATGGTTGCATGTTTGATTCGCGTCATTTTAAAAGTGGCTATTACACGGAAGTTCTTATTTTTAACGGAAAAACTAACGGAATTTGTTATTTTAATGGACTATGTAACGGAATTTCTTGTTTTAAACAGGCAGCTGCACCTTCCTTCAATGTTTTTATTATAACTTTGCATTCCGATATCCGATTAAGGCGATTCAAAATGCGTTGGAAAGCTAACTCATCTGACTACAACTTTGATTCAGACATCATTCTTCAATTCGATCATTTTCTATGCCAAAAATAGGTTTCAATATGAGACTAAAATATCGGAGCATAACTTTTCAGTTGGAAATTGATTTGTGATCATCTTTTGCCTAAATTTGATTCCATTGACGTCTTCCTTTATCCAATTGATTCCGAGCACTCTCAAATCTTCATCGTGAGGTTCGGCACAACTTTTAAACGGAATTTCTTGTTTTTAATGGAAAAACTAACGGAATTTGTCGTTTTAACGGATTATGTAACGGAATTTCTTGTTTTAAACAGGCAGCTGCACCTTCCTTCAGTGTTTTTATTATAACTTTGTATTCCGATATCCGATTGAGGCGATTCAAAATGCGTTGGAAAGCTAACTCATCTGGCTACAATTTTGATTCAGACATCATTCTTCAATTCATCACTTTCTATGCCAAAAATAGGTCTCAATATGAGACTAAAATATCGGAGCATAACTTTTCAGTTGGAAATTGATTTGTGATCATCTTTT